GGAGCTGTGAAGGCACGGCTGAGGACGGGACGAGCAACTACCAGGGCTGGCAGTGGTGAGACCACACTCTACAACGCTGAGGTCACCTCCTCAGCTCGGGAGGGTGAGGTCAGCAAGTCAACTAAGGCGGGGCTCCACAATACTCCCTGTTTGTTCAAGTCCTCACACATTTCATATCTTCCCTTCTTTCAAGAACTATGGGACAGGGCTTCCCTGGTGGCGCAGTGGTAAAGAGTCCGCCTGCCGATACAGGGGACACAGGTTCGAGCCCTGGTCCGGGAGGATCCCACATGCCGTGGTGCAACTAAGCCCGTGCCCCACAACTACTGAGCCTGCGCTCTAGAGCCCATGAGCCACAACTACTGAAGCCCGCGTGCCTAGAGCCCGTGCTTCGCAACAAGAGAAGCCACTGCAATGAGAAGCCCGCGCACCGCAACGAAGAGTAGCCCCTGCTCACCGCAACTAGAGAAAGCCCGTGTGCAGCAATGAAGACCCAGTGCAGCCAAAAATAAATAAATTAAATAATTAAAGAAAAAAAAAGAACTATGGGACAGAACACGCTCCCTAGAGCATAAGACCTGTCATCGGTGCTACGATAAAAACAAACCTCAGAAGGACCAACTATTACCAACCGCCTCCTGCTCTCTGAAAGCCCATGTGCTGGGGATGGGGCAGTAGTCAGTGCCCTGCGAGAGTATAGTTTCTGGGACTGTGTGTGATATCTTCGTTAAAACATTTTATCTCTTATTTAAAAGACCTACCGCTCATGTCTGGGACTGTGAGGAAGAAAGTGTGACCTGCTAAACCCTGCGTGTGGTGAACCTGCCTCATGCAGGATCCCCTGTGGAACTCTCCTGGGAGCTAGAAGACCTCATCCTCATCCATAAATAACACAGAGCAAGTCAGGGATCCTTAAAGTATCCTTGGCCGTAAGTGCCATCCACTGAGTAATCTTCCTAAGAGTGAACATTATACTGGCTAAGCCTCTTCCTGCCCAACACTTTCTGATATGATTCCAGCCTGAACTGTAATCTATATATACTATGTCCCTGATCCAGAGAACCCACATTTAATTAGAACTTGCCAGTGTTCTGTATGCTAACGGTCCCTCCACCATGCCTTTTTTTTTTTTAACATCTTTATTGAAGTATAACTGCTTTACAATGGTGTGTTAGTTTCTGCTTTATAACACAGTGAATCAGCTATACATATACATATATCCCCATATCTCCTCCCTCTTGCGTCTCCCTCCCTCCCACCCTCCCTATCCCACCCCTCTAGGTGGTCACAGAGCACTGAGCTGATCTCCCTGTGCTATGCAGTTGGTTTCCACTAGCTATCTAGTTTACATTTGGTGGTGTATATATGTCCATGCCACCCTCTCACTTCGTCCCAGCTTACCCTTCCCCCTCCCCGTGTCCTCAAGTCCATTCTCTACGTCTGCGTCTTTATTCCTGTCCTGCCCCTAGGTTCTTCAGAACCTTTTTTTTTAAGATTCCATATATATGTGTTAGCATATGGAATTTGTTTTTCTCTTTCTGACTTACTTCACTCTGTATGACAGACTCTGGGTCCATCCACCTCACTACAAATAACTCAATTTCATTTCTTTTCATGGCTGAGTAATATTCCCTTGTATATATGTGCCACATCTTCTTTATCCATTCATCTGTTTTTAGTTTTCATCTATTTTTAGTTTTTTAAGGAACCTCCATACTGTTCTCCATAGTGGCTGTATCAATTTACAATCCCACCGACAGTGTAAGAGGGTTCCCTTTTCTCCACACCCTCTCCAGCATCTATTGTTTGTAGATTTTTGATGATGGCCATTCTGACTGGCGTGAGGTGATACCTCATGGTAGTTTTGATTTACATTTCTCTAATGATTAGTGATGTTGAGCATCCTTTCATGTGTTTGTTGGCAATCTGTGTATCTTCTTTGGAGAAATGTCTATTTAGGTCTTCTGCCCATTTTTGGATTGAGTTGTTTGTTTCTTTGATACTGAGCTGCATGAGCTGCTTGTAAAGTTTGGAGATTAATCCTCTGTCAGTTGCTTCATTTGAAAATATTTTCTCCCATTCTGAAGGTTGTCGTCATCTTGTTTATGGTTTCCTTTGCTGTGCAAAAGCTTTTAAGTTTCACTAGGTCCTATTTGTTTATCTTTGTTTTTAGTTCCATTTCTCTAGGAGGTGGGTCAAAAAGGATCTTGCTGTGACTTATGTCATAGAGTGTTCTGCCTATGTTTTCCTCTAAGAGTTTTATAGTGTCTGGCCTTACATTTAGGTCTTTAATGCATTTTGAGTTTATTTTTGTGTATGGTGTTAGGGAGTGCTCTAATTTCATTCTTTTACATGTAGCTGTCCAGTTTTCCCAGCACCACTTACTGAAGAGGCTGTCTTTTCTGCATCTTATACTCTTGCCTCTTTTATCAAAAATAAGGTGATCGGGCTTCCCTGGTGGTGCAGTGGTTGAGAGTCCGCCTGCCAATGTAGGGGACGCGGGTTCGTGCCCTGGTCTGGGAAGATCCCACATGCCGCGGAGCGGCTGGGCCCGGGAGCCACGGCCGCCGAGCCTGCGCGTCCGGAGCCTGTGCTCCGCAACGGGAGAGGCCACAGCAGTGAGAGGCCCGCGTACCGCAAAAAAAAAATAATAATAATAAATAAATAAGGTGACCATATGTGCATGGGTTTATCTCTGAGCTTTCTATCCTGATCCGTTGATCTATATTTCTGTTTTTGTGCCAGTACCGTACTGTCTTGATTACTGTAACTTTGTAGTATAGTCTGAAGCCTGGAGCCTGATTCCTCCAGCTCTGTTTTTCTTTCTCAAGATTGCTTTGGCTATTCGGGGTCTTTTGTGTTTCCATAGAAATCGTGGAATTTTTTGTTCTAGTTCTGTGAAAAATGCCATTGGTAGTTTGATAGGGATTGCACTGAATCTGTAGATTGCTTTGGGTAGTATAGTCATTTTCACAATGTTGATTCTTCCAATGCAAGAACATGGTATATCTGTTTGTATCATCTTTAATTTCTTTCATCAGTGTCTTATAGTTTTCCACATTCAGGTCTTTAGTCTCCTTAGGTAAGTTTATTCCTAGGTATTGGTATTTGATTCTTTTTGTTGCAGTGGTAAATGGGAGTGTTTCCTTAATTTCTCTTTCAGATTTTTCATCATTAGTGTATAGGAATGCAAGAGATTTCTGTGCATTAATTTTGTATCCTGCTACTTTACCAAATTCATTGATTAGCTCTAGTAGTTTTCTGGTAGCATCTTTAGGATTCTCTATGTATAGTATCATGTCATTTGCAAACACTGACAGCTTTACTTCCTCTTTTCCGATTTGGATTCATTTTATTTCTTTTTCTTCTCTGATTGCTGTGGCTAAAACTTCCAAAACTCTGTTGAATAATAGTGGTGAGAGGGGGCAACGTTGTCTTCTTCCTGATCTTAGAGGAAATGGTTTCAGTTTGTCACCATGGAGAACAATGTTCCGCCACCATTCCTTGATGTCCACAATGAATTCTGATATCTGAACGTGCGAGGTGGGAAAGGTGGATGCACTAATTTCTGGATACAGGCTACCATTTGCCCTAACTTAAGGATGCTCCTCGACTTCCTCAGAAAGAGCAACTTAGAGGCTGTGCAGACTCCAGGGACTGTTAAGCTTTGTAACAAGTGAACAATCTTCAACCAGAGACACTGACCAATTTATGAAGACTGTTCCTGTAGTTTGAAAAGGTGAGTAAATGTCGAGAGAAACCTGGTTGCTTTGAGCTAGACATGTTCCCTTGAGAATTAAATCAACTGGCGATGAGCTAAAGTTTAAAGATTGAGGTCAAGAAATACTTGACTCTGAGGAAGGTGATAAGATAGATGATGGAGATTTGAAGCCCTCTGGAACCTAGCAGAGTTTTTATATTAATTCCACAAGCATATGTTGTTACAAAGATGAGTATGGCATGATTCTTACCGCCCCCCACAAGGAGCTTAGAATCTAGTGAAGAGAAATGCAGTTGACGCTGGTAACTTTAATACCAAGCAGGAGGAAAAAATAACTTTGGAAAAGTACTGAGTAACACAAAAGGGATAGGAGCAAAGTGTCCAAGATGATTATTCTGAAGCTACTCGTTCAGCCTAGAAGCAGCCCTTTAAACAGCCAGGAAATCAAGCAGGCACCTAGCTCCTTTACCCGCTGCTGCGAAGCTCGTGCAGCCCTCCCTCTCTTGTACACCCAAAGAAACATTTCCAATTTAATAAGAGACACACTGATTTCTCCTCCAAGAGGTTTCCTCTGGGTCTTAACCACAATGGGGCCTGTGAGAGAAGGACTCAGGAGCACGTGAGTCCTCAGGGGAAGGTGACATGTTCTGCTCGTGGAGGCTGTTTTTTTGTCTACGCTGAAAGCTAAAAATGGCAGAGGAAAGAAACCTCATTCTCTGAGCTTCAAAGTCCATAGTATTTTCCACCTCCTCACCTGAAATGACTTCCTCCTTTTTGAATCCCTCAAGGCCCCGCTGAAGATCCAGTTCCTCTAAGAGGCCTCCCTGACCTCCGCGCCCTCCTTCGTACCTCTTTTAACTCCAGCGGCACCTAGACTTCGACCTTCTCAGTTTGCCCTTCACAGACTGCCCGGCAGCCTCCATGAGGTGGCAGAGCTTTCCCATTTGCTAAAGCTTCACGCTATCATCTCTTTGAACGCCCAAGTAACTCCAGACTCTTAGCTCCAAGCTCCTCTCACTTGGTGGTGGCAAAGTTGCTCACGGTGGTCAGCAGCCTGGGAAGGGGGCGCTACAACTCGCACGTCAGCAGCACGTTGGGCCTGTGACCCTGCAGCCACCATGTGACCCTAAGGTCGCTCATGGGTCAAAGGCAGGATTGTTAAAAGGATCACAGATAATAGTGGCAGTGACCACTGCTCTACGGTTTATCTCAACCACCTTGATTTGTAAGTGTCTTGAGAACAGAGACCAAAATCCCAACAACGCCTAGAGCTCGGCCTTCAACAGAGTTGGTGCTCAGGGAACGTGCGGATAAGAACCCGAGAAGCATCAGAACGCACAGCCTTCTTCCGCCCAAGCCCCACGTTCTTTCGTCCTCCAAGATGGCGACTGCATAGCCAGAAAGGCAGTTCAGAGAGGAGTCATAGGGAGAGAATTTCTAGGCAACTCCCAAAGGGAGCATAAAGCCCAGATGATGGAATCAAGGCCCACGCCAGCCAGCAATGAGGAGATTTCCTGAGCAGGCATCACAGCTAGCTCCCTTGCCAAGAGCCTGGCTACTCAGCGTCCTCTGAAAACCCATTTCCAAATCATGGCAAACGAAATTTAATTTTAAAAAGGGAAATGATTTATGTGCTACAGGAATAAAGAAGTGACAGAAGCAGGAAAGCTTGCATACATTTCATGTTTTGAAATTAGACCTATAATTTTTTCATTAAAAAAAAGGATGCCAAGTTGGGAAAGCCAACGCACTCTAAGCAGAAAATTACAGAGAGGTGCATAATGAAAGTCCTGTCAGCATCGCAATCCCATGCCTTAAAACGAGTCCGGGAGAACACAGGCTAGTTTACTACTGCCCCCTTCAACTTCTAAAGAGTTCCAGCTCTTAAAGGGCTCGATACTCACATCTGCTTCTCTGATGGAGTGGGAAGCCACTGGGAGATTTGAGCAGGGAAATGGTCATTCTGACTGCTGTCTTGAAAAGAGACCAAAGGACAGCAAGGGCTGAAGCAGGGAGACTGGTGTAACACAGACAAGAGAAGACGTTGGCATCAGAGTTTCTTGATCCCAATCCAGTGGTTTCCCTATTTTGATTCTTTACCATCAGTCCTCGCTAAACCACTCCAACACATACCAATCCCTCTAAATCCTACGGAACCTATTTCACGTCGATCATCTACAGACCTGGTGGTCAGTTATCTGTTTCCTGTCAGCCTGATGATCTGCGGAAATCCAACAGATCTTCCCGAGCAGGGACCAAGGTGAGAGGCACGCAAGTATAACGGTTAAGAGTCACACTGTCTAGGTTCAAGTCCTGGTTTTACCACTTGCTAGCTGTGTCATGCTGCTGTGCTTAAGTGTCCTCATCTGTAAAACGGCAGAGAGCAATGCTATCGGTATGCACGTATCCGTTTATTCATGTAACCGATATTTATTATATCCCTACTATGTGCCAGGCATTGTTCTGGTCCCTTGGCACATGGTTGTGAAAAGACAGAAGAGCTCCTTGCTCTTAAAGAGCTTACATATAGTATGGGTGGGGAGGAAGCAGACAGACTAAAACGTGTAAAGAGACAGATATAGGAGTTCATTTCCGATAGGGATGAGGGACAGGAAGATAAGGATACACTGGGTGAGGGGACAGAGCCAGATCTGTGGAAGAGGGAAGGTCAGAGAAGGCTTCTCTGGGGAGGAGACATTTGAGCTGAGGCTGGAATGACGAGAAGAAGCCAGACCCATGATATCTGTGGAAACACATTCCAGGCAGAGGGACAAACAAACAAGTATTTCTGGAATGAATGGATGTCGAATGAGTTTAAGTAGCAAATGATACCTCATTCTCCCTAGGAGGCTGTATAGGTATGAAATGATTTTGTGCATGTTTTTTGAGGAATCACTGTGGACCCCCATATGTGGTTAAGGTAGTATTGGGTGGTGCAAGGGGTACAAGAAGATTCTGTGAACAAGCAGTACTTGCCATGTTCCATCTAAGTGATTTAAGTGATTAACTCATTTAATCTTCACAACAACAACAACCTGTGAGGTATGGTCTATACCTAGGAGGTATGGTCATGGCTATCCCACATTTTGCTAATACCCTTCCCGCATACTACACTGTAAGATCCTTAAGAGTAGGGGATTTTTCTGTCTTGTTCACAACTGTGTGCACCGGCACCACTTGCCGCACTGTAGCTATTGAATACATATTGGTGAAACACAGGAGTGGATACGGGCATACTGTGTATCAGAAAACGTCCTGGGCCCTAAGCATCCCCAGAGAGCTTCACCCAAAGTCCAAGGAACTTAAATCAATCCAGTTTCCCTGACAGGATAGAATGAAGGAGTTTAGAGAGAATCTTCATTTATCAAGATTTTAAAAGTCAAATGAACACAGACTTAACTCGGGACCTCATTCCACCAACCCTACCCCTAACCAGCACTTTTGCCTGTGATTTTTCAATGACCTGGCTCCTTCCTGTCGTGTGTGTGGTGTGTGAGTGTGTGCACGTTTTAACTGATAAAAATATGTTTCACCCTGGAGAGGAATACGTTGATCTTGCTAAAGTAATAGGATATAACTTTCTTGCTTTTCTCGATAAAACCCTAGGTGAAATATTAGCCAATATAGACACAAATCCTTTCTTCTGGGGTGAACAGAGTGTATTGAACCCATCAGTCCAAATAGTTTCTAATAACCTGTGGAGTCCACTCAGCTACAAAAGGAGTCCAGAGTTATTCTAAAATACATTTTAAGTTCTAAAAACAGAAGAGAAATCCATTAATCCTACCCACTTCATATATCACGACTCTGTAAATTAATTTACAGTAGCAGCATAAAAATTCTTTTTATTAACCCCCAAAAGGGTTGGCACCCTAGCTTCCAACGCCTCTGCCCAAGGAGGCCTGTTCTCCAGTCCTCTTTGTGTCTCGCTGTCCTGGAAGCCAAAGCCCTATGTCCACCGTTCCACGTACTCTAGAGCACATCCCACACACCTCTACCAGCAGACATATTGCGGTTTGGTTGACTACGTGGTACGATGAACTTAACATTCTCTCTGGCCCTGCTTTGGCAGCTACATGGAATAAAGAGCAGGTAACCAGGAGTGGTCGTGGTTAGACCATCCTCTAATGATAAACAGAACCTCTAGAAAACTTCCAAGACAAAGCAGTCCTCCAAGCGAGATCTCTGAAGGTGAAGGTCTTCTGCGGAAACAGCAATGTACAAGCAGCACAACTCCTTTGCCACCTGGCTTCAGTTAAAGAGAAACATCTGCCTTGTTATCATTTGGGAGGTGGGTGGGCACTGTAAGCAGGCAGGCAGGGGAAGCCTGAATGTGGACATGGGCCAGGAACAAAGCCATCAGATCATCGAAATCCACTGAGACCATGAAACCTACTTTGGCAAGAAAAAAATGTTTACTCACTTACAGATTCCCATGATCTTTAACAAAACAACTGCCTTTCCTTTCATTTCCAGCAAAGCACGTGATGTTTAGAGGGGAAGAGGCGGTGTCGTCCAGCTCGTTCTTTACAGTTCAAACTAATTTTATAGGCCCTGAGTTTTCTTTCATAAAATGTCAAGGTTTCATCCCCTCTTCTGTTTCCCTCCCTCCCTTTGCTTTTTCTTCTTTTGTCTATAATGTCTATTATTTCACCCCACAGGAAAATGGAAAGTTCAGGGCAGAGTCAGAAAAGCATCTTTAAAACATACTGTAAAAAGTAGAAAACTATTCTTTTCCATTAAGGTTCCAGTAAGAGCCCCAGAGCCTTAGGAAAACGGTTCCTTTATTATTCAAAGAGGAAGATGGGTTTAGATGACTATGTACAAGTTGTCTGAGGCCTGAGACTCCAATAGAAACAATAGAGAATCTTCATTTATCAAGAGAATTAAAAAAAAAAAAATCAAGTGAATACAAATTTTTTCTGAGCCCAGCAAGTGGGCTGTCACTACTGGATTTTATAGATGGGACAAGTGTCACTTGCCCAGAGCACAGCAAATCAGACGGTTGAGCCTTGATTAAACCGGGGCTATGTGCCTATAAGCCTAGCACTCTTTTTATTCAATACTATAACATGTTACCCCGCAGCCCCTCAGCAGAGGCTATGTCTTAATATTGATGTAGCCAACTTCTCCCCGGCGATCAGGGTTCACGGTGTTCTCCATATGGACCAAACACCAAGATGACGGTCCATCTCATCTCTGTTCTGTTCGGGTGATTTACCACATCCTTCCTTTAACCTCATCCCACTCCTTGGTCAAGAAGCCCATGCACACACGCACACGTGCACACACCATCTGCCAAGGAACTTAGAAGCATGACTTCTTATGTCTCTCTGCAATTCCAAACTCAAACCAAAATAAACCATACTTTTATTAATTTTTTGACCAACCATATCTTCATCCATTTAGCCTCACCCACCTTCAAAAACTGATTTCATCTCATTTACATTGGGTCTGCCTCACATCTCTGATAGAAGCCAATACCTTAAAGTTATCCATTTATCTACCATACTGCGGGTGCCTCTGTTTGGATTTAGCTGTCGACACCTCACACATGTGAAATCAATTTGTGTGATATTAATGTAAACATTGTGCATTACAAACTGGTGGACACTTTATTGTTCTAACAGGAAAAACAGACAAAATGTTTGCAGGTGTGTGTTTTCTCTACAGCACAGACAATAACACACTATAAATGACTGTACGTGTTTTACAAAAGGATCATCACATTATAAAAAGAGGTAAAAGTAAGGTGGGGGGCTGTCAGAGGATGTCTTATGCTAGCAGATTCAGTGGGGGGCAGGAATTATACGCAGGGTAAAGATTTTTATGAAAAAAAATTGCCATTCACAATGTCACTTTCCCCTCATTGTTATTATAACCTCATTTCCTAATTGCATGTGCAAGACAACCCTTTTCATAATGCTTAAGTGCGGAGTCCATTGCTTTAGTTTTAAAAAGAGTCAACTCTCTTGTGCTAAGAAAACAGCACATTGCCTTTCAGAGCATTGTAACTGACAAGATGGAAGAAAGCGGCAGGATGTTGAGGCTGAAGCTTTTCAATCACCTAACATTAATACGATTCAATTTATGCTTATGTCATAGGTTTAGACATTGTGCTGCACTGTAAGCAAGGAAGGAACTTGAATAAAATACACTGAAGAAAGCAGATGGTATGCTATCAAAACCCTTCAAGCCTAAAATAACCTTTCCCGAGTAAGGAGAATAGTTAATTAAAACCAGGATATATTTACTCTATGCTGAATATCTCAATGTAAATAAAAATCAAAATGACACTACTGTCATGTGGGACTAAATGATGAAATTTCATCTATTCTCTTTTTCTTTCATAGTTTCTAATCAAACTTTTCATTAAACAGCTCCATAAAATTCCATGGAGAATTTATTTACAGGGGCTCGCTGCAGATTTGAAAGCCTTACTTTTATTGTTCAATTAAATTTGTTATTCGGTGGACGACATTAAAACAATGGGAAAGGGGTGGGGTGTCTGAGCAGTTGGGCAAGGTTGTCACACAAGCAAAGTCCATTTTCAGAGATGAACCTGGGGAATGGGAGTAAGCTGGATGGCACACAGAGGAAACGAGGGGACATCCCTGCTCGACAAAGAAAGCCCAGATCCGTTCCAAAGCCGTGGCCTGGGTTTGTCCCAGCCCGGGTCCAACGACTCACATTCATGTCCTACTGGTAGAGAGGGCATCAGGCCATTTATAAATCCCACCCAGAGAGCACGGCCTCCTGAGGGTGATGACTAAGGGCAAACAAATCTAAGAGAGACCAGCAGCTGACCCAGGGCAAAGGCAGCCATTCCTAATGCAGCCTGGACCTGAATTTTAGATGATCTAGGTATTTCCAAACTTTTCTAATAACCTCTGTACCTATTTTTATTTTTAAAAAAATTTTTATTGGAGTAGAGTTGATTTACAATGTGGTGTTAGTTTCAGGCATACAGCAAAGTGAATCAGTTATGCATATACATGTATCCACTCTTTTTTTTTTTAGATTCTTTTCCCATATAGGCCATTACAGAGTAGTGAGTAATTTCCTGTGCTATACAGTAGGTTCTTATTAGTTATCTATTTTATATATGGTAGTGTGTAAATGTCAATCCCAGTCTCCCAATTTATCCCTCCCCCCCTTTTCCCTTGGTAACCATAAGTTTGTTTTCTCCATCTGTGACTCTATTTCTGTTTTGTAAGGAAGTTCATTTGTACCCCTTTTTTTAGATTCCACGTATAAGCAATATCATGATATTTGTCTTTCTGTGTCTGACTTACTTTACTCAGTATGACAATCTGTAATTTTTTTTTTTTTTTTTTTTTTTTTTTAAGATTCTTTTCCCATCTAGGCCATTACAGAGTGTTGAGTAGAGTTCCCTGTGCTATACAGCAGGTTCTTATTGTTATCTATTTTACATATAGCAGTGTGTATATGTCAATCCCAACCTCCCAATTTATCCCTCCCCTTCCAGCCGCTTCTCCCTATCGTTAAAAACCAGATCCAGCTCTGCCTTTTCCACAAGGCTTTCCCTGACCCCTCACCATGATATGACCATCCTCTCCGGCCAGGCCACCTCCTGCATGCGCCCAGCTCACTGTGAAATGCCTACTGCACGTGCCTTCTACAACACTCACCCAATACTTCATCACTGACTTTCCTGTAACATGAGTTAACCTTTCAGGTGCGTTAATCCCGTCTTCCCCAATTAGATTTTAAATCCTCAAAACGAGCAAGGACTGTGTTTTATTTATCTTTGGAACACCCCCCCTCCCACCCTCACTCCGTAACCCCATTTAATAAAAGAAAGCAAAAGATATATTAGTTAATAAAATAAACATTATTTAATCATAGGAAAGCAGACACTGTCCTTTCGAGAAGGGCCTTGGAGGTATTTTATGGCAATTTATGAATTTCATGTGTCAAAGGCGTAGCTGCTAAATGCTACGCACGCTTTGCCATCAGCTCCAACCATTCATCCACCTGGTGATATGGCTAATAAAATCTGATTTTTACAGCCTAGGCATACTGTTACCTAAATTGCATCTGACCAATTACAGAAGTCACCAAACGTGTGGTACAGAATATATACTGTGCAGAAAATTCATCTGTGGGCCCCCCGGCACTCGCGGTAATCTGACAGAAGTGTTTCAGTCATCTGGCAGTGTTTAATATTAGGAACATTTGTTTAATGCCAGTCACTAATTAAATTTATGTTCTTCCACCAACTGTTGGTTGGAGAAACCCAACCCCGTGTTTCAACAAACCCTTTAACCCATGTTGATTTCAAATATAACCAGTTGGAGGTTTAAAAGGAATTTCTCTGGAAATTGAGATGTATGACCAGAAGTGCAAGGTGGGGGAGGGATGTTGGTGAACGTGTTCAAATTGGGTCAGAATAAGCTTTCTTTCTGTTCACTTACTTAAATGAAACCCTGTAAGAAGTCCCAACTATCTGAAGTATAAACTTAACTAAAAAAATCTGATATTCTAATTTTTTAGACTAGCCCTCTAGAAGTTCTTTAAAGGTACCTTCATTCCAAAAGAAAGCTTCCACCTTAAGAGTCTGGAGAAGAAAAACAGCATTAAAATTAGCTATACCAGAAGAAGATTCCGGAAAACATTCAAAAGTCAGATGCTTGTGTTTGTGAGAACATTTAAAACTAATTTAGTAACTCTTAAACAACCATTGTGATCGTTGTTAAACTGCAACTTCTATGACCAATTCTAGATACAACAGCTTTGAAACTCCATGACTAATCTACTCTTAAATTAGCCAAAAAGGTTAAAACATTTTTTCATTATATTACACTGTGAAACTCTAATTTAGAATACTCTTAAATGAGGGAAAGCATTTTTTCAGTTCTATTTTGTTTCAGGAATTTAGAGACCTCTCGAGCAGCAAGCAGGACAGAGAAGCCCTTTGTCCTGGGAGTAGGGGCTAGAGATGAAAAACTCAAAGGAGAAGTATTGAAAAGGGAAGATTTATAAATGTTGACCTGAAAAGAGAGTATGTTTTAAAAATGTATTAGATACATTCATCTACTTGAATAAAAAGGTTATTTGAACATTAAGAACGATAAGAAAATCATAACTTGCATAAACACTATTACTCTCTCATAGACCAAAAGCCAGAGTTGTGAAAGGCACCTGGAAAAAGTTGGTAACAACAACAAAAAGTCACGTCTAATAAACTTAGGTCCCCTTCCTCTCTTTTCTCCCTTTGTTCTTGGATCAAGATGAGCCGTCTGGTCACCTTACCCTCATCTGCCCACACACCTACTTACAATACCCCCGCAGCAGCTCCAGGGCTGCTGGAGTCGTGAACAATCAGACTGGAGAGGCCACCGTGGACCCCCAAACCACAGTGAGGCCTGTAACGTCTGAGCAGAATAATCTGAACCTGAATAATCTGCAAAATTAGGCATCCTCGGAAAGACATTACCCAACAGAATCAAGGAATGTTCTGCCCCAAGGGACCCCCTCATACTCTCTAGGCCAAGGGTCTCCACTGCGTCTGCACCCAGATACCCACACGGGAGCCACCGCGGCTCAGTCATCACCCCACTCACTCTACGGTGGTGATTCCCAGAGAAGGGAAAGGGTGAGAGTTGGGGGTGTCTTTGCCTCTGTAAGTAGAGGAACTGCCAGGCGACACGTGTACTATGATGACGTGCCCCCGGGCTATTCTGATGTCCCTGCCCAGCCTATTGAGAACCGCTGACATGATCCATTCTCTTCGAGAAAGAGATGAGAAAGTGAAGATGTGAGAGATGTGATTTTATCTTGCCTCCAGTCTTTCACGGCATCATGAAAGGTCTCCTAAACTTAGGATGTGCTCTCTCCTCCTCCTCCCTTTCTATCTACAGAGATCTCATGACCAATCAGCTGGACAGAGATGCAGATACAGATATGTGTGCACATATCCATCTTTGATGGGCACAGTGTATAAAGACATATGTATATGACAAAATTAAGGGGCATGGGGATCTATTATCTGTCTATATCTATCTATCTATATCTATTTACCTTATGACACTGAAGTGGTTAGACTGGTGTGTTTTTTTTTAAACTGGTGAATTTTTATAGCTCCTTATACCACTGAAAAGGAAGTGATCAGTTAAATGAAGAAAATCAGTATCTGAATAGCCAAACCCTTTTAAGAAGCAACTAGCATAAAAGCTTCCTGTCCTATAAAGTCCAATTTCAAGGTTGACCAAGCAACTCCAGACTCTGTCTTGAACAACAAATTCTAAAGAATAATCCTGGGCCCTGGTACACACAGGCTGCCAAGTAGGCAATGACGTCTTATGCCGCAATCGTTGGGGGGAGGGGAGGGGTGGGTGGCACACTGGGCTTGTCAAAGTAAGCCCCGTTCCCCATCGCTGCTCTTCACAAGAACTGAAAACAGCCAGACACACACGCACAGGTTTCATGTAGGAAAAAAAAAAAAAAAAAAGACTCACCAAACTCATCGCATATGCTCTCATTTTCTATGAGAGTTGGGTGGTCAAAGGTGTCCCGACAGTACAGGATCTGAGGGTTCTTGCTGACCACTGCGATGCCCCCCAGGGCCAACGCAAACTGGTCCGTGAGAATGGAAGACGGCTTATCCTGGATGCGTTTCAGCATCGAGCGGTAGCGGCAGTACTGAGGGTAGCTGAGAACTATCACGTTCGTTTCTTCCTCGTCCTCCCCTAGACAAACGAGAAAACACTTCCATTACCCTTTTCGCTCCAAGAGAGAATTGTCGTGGTCCTGGCATCATTTCAATGACCACCTCTGGTTTTGTACTAAAAATAGAGTCTTCAAAAAGACTCTTGTATCAGTTTATCTTTAGCACAGTTCGGCTACTGCCAGCATCCTCTCAGCACCATCACCCCTCCAGCTCCATGAAAAAGCCTCAGGCAGAGGAAAGGAAAAGAGTGGGATGGATGTAACCCCACAGACAGATTACGCAATGTTTAGGTCACCGGCAAGCAGCAGAACCAGAAAACCGTCTTGAAAGAATCTGATGTATATATACATTTTAAGCATTAAAGGCATCACCGTAGGAAAAAAATCAGAATTTTGCTGAGCTTCTTTATACTTCTTTCCACAGTTTGGTATTGCTTTTATTTTGGATTATGTCATCTTTCAGTGCTTAAAGCCCCTGTAAAGGTCATCTGGCCCCAGAGCGATGTCTGTGGGTCTAAAGAGCATCATTATCTGCTCTGGTGGTTGTTAGTTTTGCTCAATGAATATTTCTCATTCTCTTTATGGTCCTGTGGAAAGGCCGTACCTCCCTGCCCACTGAGGACAAAATGGCTGTGCGATTTGTTCTGGCCAATGAAATATGGCAGCAGTGGGCGGCTACTTTAAGAGCAAGTGGACAATGGACCACACTCTCGCCCTCCCTTCGTTCTGCACATCTGTAACGTTTCAGACAGTGGCTACTCTGCCAGTCTTGGTCTTGAGTGAGGGTAACACAGAGCAAAGCCCCTGGTTTGTCCTAAATGGATGTATAAACATAAGCACTTGTTGTTTCAAGTGAGACTGGGATTTGGAGGTTGTTTTTGCAGCATGATCTATTTCAATGTGACTGATACATCCACCTTCCCCCCGCCCTCCCCCCAACCCATATCCCCTATCTTCTCTTATTTATTTTTTTTTGGCGGTACGCGGGCCTCTCACTGTTGTGGCCCCTCCCGTTGCGGAGCACAGGCTCCGGACGCGCAGGCTCAGCGGCCATGGCTCACGGGCCCAGCCGCTCCGCAGCATGTGGGATCCTCCCGAACCGGGGCACGAACCCGCGTCCCCTGCATCGGGAGGCGGACTCTCACACTGCGCCACAAGGGAAGCCCCATACCCTCTATCTTCTAACGTTTCTCAAATCCATCTGGTAACTTAGCACAACGCAGAGGATCACACTGAGAGGACTCCCCAGGCATCTTTATGAGAGCCCCATCAGAACCAACTTAACTCAGGAGAACGTTTCAGCAACTTTAACGAAACTCCCTCTTACAATGTGATCTTAATGCTTATTTACACCTCACCATATTAAGTGCTCATTTACAAAACCCAGATTCTGCCTGCACAAATCCTTCCTTCATCTTAAGCTTGAGAAATGGCACCCCCTCCCTTTGGTATCCTGCCACCTGCACAACGTCAAGCTGGATTTAGGCTCCATGACCCAGTTTGCCATTGCTCTCTGTAACCACATCAGCAGGGCATTTGTAAGCAATTCCCAGATATGTCAGTTGCTTATCCAAAGGGAAAACACTCAATATTTCAAGCCTTTACCATGCTGCAGGGAACTGCACAAAACAGTTGTTAAGGATACCAACACCGTCGTGGCCATCTGGTAGCCAGTGGGAGACGAATGAGCAAGGACAGAACGTAATGATGGGACATAACCAGTACCAAAGGAAGGTGTGCATGCGACCTTTTCAGATAGGACGCCATTACCCAGATGTATTTCTAATTACATTCACTTAGTTCCTCAGGCTGGAGGCTTCTTCGAGAACGGAGACTTTTAACGGTTTACGTTGCTTAGACTCCTGCCTGGCTTGTGGGTAGCCACTTTATCAGCTGGCACACTTAATTAAAAGGAAGTATGTCTACACTGAAAGCAAGTCCCCAGTGAAAAGTAGTTTTGAGATGCTGATGTCCAAGACATGCCAATTTGAGATTTTTACAGTAGATCAAGACACTAGTTCGTACTTTGGGTTCAAATCTGTGCTTTCTACAGAGTTAAAGCCCAAACAATGTTTTATTGGAAATATCTACCTAACATCATCAGAACTCCAGAGTGTCTGAGTACCAGTGGAAGAAGCAGCCCATAATGGGTCAATTGCATCATTACACTCTATTTGCCCAGGATGACCAAGATTTGTCCAAGATCGTCCAAGATGAGAGACAGGGGTATAACCATGAGCCCTCAGGACTTATTTCAGCATGCTCAGCCGCTAATGCCATCTCCTGTACATAGCAAATACTGTTCAAATATCCGTTGATTCCAAATCTCTTGGCTTTCTGTAATGGGTCGGGGGTGGCAGGAAGCTGTACTAGTTTCTCCAAGAATTCTTGAATGAAATGGAGAAAGTCATGCTTCTCAGGCTGAATAAAGGTGAAAAAATGAATGCTTCAGAGTTAGCTTTTATAGCAGAAGATGTCACCTGGACTCATGGGACCACCTCACTTCCTTCCTATCCCTTCATTCTCCTTCTGGTTTTCTCTGACCATTTTACGTGATGATGTCATCTCTAGTTTCTTCTTAATTCTCTATTCTGGATGAAATCAGCCTCCTGGCTATCTTCTGCGCTTAGAAATGACTTTTTTTTTTTTAACCCCATCTCATCCTTCAAACATTTATCCCTCTTTCATCAGGCAGTTTCCAAAACACTAACCAACCCATGTGGTCCTGCTCTTTCTGATGGAAAAAAAATTGCAAATTCCCTCTGACCCCAAGTCATGGAAACACATGCTATGATGTCCATTCATTCTGGAGACAGTATCTCTAAGAATGCTCCCAGGACCGCCCGCATCAGAATCACATAGCGGGGTGTAAAGAGGCAGACTCTGGGGCTCCAATGAGAACCTCTGACTCGGAATCCCTAACGTTGGGGCCGAGAAATTTATATTTTTAACAAGCTCCCACGTACATTAAACTTTGAAAACACTACCTGAGTTTTACTTATAGTTATTTATTCAGTTGGGCTTTGATCTCTCTCTTCTCTCTCTCCTCCCTCTCC